AGAAATAAGAGCAAGAATAGTCACCATAAATCAAAGAGATTTCTTGCACCAAGAAAGCAAGATCTTGTGACATTTCTTGCGCAAGATCTTGGGCAAGAAAGCCCTCGCAAGAAAGTCGACTAGGGGATTCTATTACGGCTTTTTTTAGATACTCGCGTTGCGACAGATGAGAATAAAATTGATTTTTGTCCAATTTCGACCGTTTTATTTGCCACTCTTCTCTGCGTAGAATACAATATTTTGATCTGTCGGTGCTGGAATGAGTCTTGAGTGAAATTTATTTAAGCCTATCGTGTATCCGTGTATCATGTAGTACACAGAAAATTGTCGTGCCAGCCGACATTTCCCTGCAGACTCATGTGTTCATGTCTTTTTGTTCGTTTGATAAAAGTCGAAAATTGTATTATATAAAGCTGAGAGATGTTTCATTTTGTAGATCAAAGCATGCTTTTCAAAATTCACAACCGACTCTAGTCAATTAGACAGGTTGTTTTGCTTTTACAATTAGTTTGCCATGATCAGTTAAGTTCAAGTTTCGTAGGAACCCTTTGTATTCCAACTATAGCAGAACCATGGCTAATCCAAGCGAACTGACTGGGAAGTAACCTTTAAAGAGTATTTGATTTTACTTATTTACGATCAGGTTGAAGTGGGTGTTTCCTAGTGCTCTATATATATACTAATCATTTATGTCAAGTCAGATGTTAATACCAAAATTACCAAAGCGTTAATTTTACTGGAAAAGTCTAAATTACTGGATAAATCTAAATAAACCACAGCTATTTTACTCAAGCGTCATAATCTTTAATCGGAGGTCACCAAATGAAAATAAAGATTTATAAAAAATAGATTGAAATAAAGAAACCTTAAACTTTGTCTTATCTCTGTTTCCCTTGATTAAAACATTTTTTTCGCAATAAAACAGAACTGCATGTTTTATTTCTTTCACAGCTTTTGAAATTGCTTCTAGAGATGTATTTCACAGTAACATTCCTTTTGTTCCTTAATACTTCGTTATTTATCTGTACTGTATTGGGTAGACCCACTCCTAAAACTGCAACAAAAGCGTCTCATTCAAAACATACCAAGGTAAAACCAATCAACTCTGACATTGAGGCATTCAATTACTTAGGCAAATATGGCTATAATCGATGTGGTGACGGAAAACATAAAGAAGTTGTATGTGCGATGAGTATTCAAAGTATGTTACAACATTTTCAAACGGTTTTCCATTTGCCTGTCACAGGGAAACTCGATGATAAAACCAAGAAACTCATGAATACACCACGTTGTGGACTAGGCGATTATCCATTATCTTATTCTGCTTATAAGCCATGGCCGAATAGAACTTTAACGTGGAAATTGAAAAATGAATTACCGAAATTTGGTTCTAAGAGTAAAACATATATACAAGAAGCATTCAATGACTGGACTCGTTATGCACCAATAAAATTGCAAGAAATATGCTCAACATGCGGGACAGCCGATTTTAATTTGGCATTCACTGAAGCTGATCATCAGGACGGTTATCCATTCGACGGACCAGGAGGAACTCTGGCGCACGCCTTTTTTCCAACTGACGGAAATGTGCATTTTGATTCATCGGAAGAATGGACGGATAAGTAAGCCCTGTCTCTTTCAAAAAAGAAAAGTTTTAAATTGACCTTCGGCGTCATACCTTCGAATTTGAAGCATTTTTCATGCTATCCAGAATCGTTGCCACTAAATTTGGGGGCTCGTAATCGATGTCATTTAGTGACGGATTGCGCTCTCAGGCTTTTGTAGATCGATAGAAGACAATCAACTGGATTGAATCCACTTGTTGAAATCAAAAATTTATCATTTTTTCTTGACGCAACAATCTGCGAAAACAGGATAAGTAAGGTACTTTACCTGCTGTTGGTATCTAAAATATCATCTTTTTATGCGCATTTGCATATCGATCTTATCTATCGAACCGCGAAAACCGCATATCTCTCTGGCTTTTCGACTGAAAGTTATTCGAAAACATCAGTGAAAGTTGTGTTGAACGAGACAATAGTATATAACAGCTTGTAATATAATAAACGTCGGAAATCTTGGAGTTTGGGAACGAGATAAATGTGAATACTCGGTTCAGAATATCTGACCACCAGATCTTGTTGGAAACTGTTGGGCTCGTTGAGAAATTATCGGATTTGGTCCTGCTGTCGTTTAAATCTAAACGGATTGAGTCGTTGAAACGATGGATTGCTGTTTCTGGGAATTCAGTCAGACAAGTATGTTAAGGTAAGATCAGGTTGAATTCGACAACTTCAGTGTATCAGATTTCGACAAAATTCTTTAGGATATTTCACCAGAATAGATCGAATCTTGATAGACCCTAGAGGAAATTAATGAATTTTTCTGCATAAATTTGCATTATCTAATCACTCATTCTCGCCCTAGTATTTCCACGTCATTTCTCATTGGTATCCGTTATGTCCATCTCTTCGTCTTTTTTAAACAAGAAATATGAAATTATCAGAAGAAAGCATGGGGCAGAGGCGGTGGAGACGACGTTTTCACGGATTTTGTAATGTAAAAACCGTGAGGAGGGGTTCCTGAGACCTCCACAACTTTAAGGATTATTTCTTTGAATTTGCCGTATAATTACTATATCTTTTCTATCTTTGACTCCTTTTATCTAACTCCTCCACCTACCGATCCTAAGAGGCGTTTCGGCTTTGTACTCAAATCCTTAGTGATTCCACTAATTTTTACCCTACTTCCCTCTCCTGAAGAAAGTTCAGAAAAGTACTACAGAACATTCTCATATGGCAATAGATTTAACGGATCAGCACGCAACATTTTTTTCCCCCTTAGGTACAGATAAAACTCGTAAAAGTCAACCATAATGCGTGTACCACTATCTTTTTCATCGGAGGAGTTACATATTTTAGCTCAAATACAGGGTCGTTTATCTTGTGGGACATTTGCGGCACAATGCTTAAAACAAAAGTAGGTGGGACGCTTTTTTGCTATAAAAATTCATTTTCCAGATGGTACACTAAAGACTCGAACCTCTCAGGTGGTACAAAAGGCCTCAAATACTTAGGCGGAGTTAGATACCGCTGCTCAAATAGGACCAACATTGGCAATTTTTTTCTGTTTATTACAGGCGTATATTTTATGAACAGAAAAACCAGGATTTATCTTCGGTTCGTTTATAATTACTTGCACTCCATGTTGGTGTTAGTGCGTCAAAGTAATTCGTATGTAAAATTTTTACCTGAAATTTTATGTGTATGTACTGGAAAGATATTTCGGTATTGCCTTCAGTATTAATTTAATTGAGTTAATTCAAAATGGTCTTCCTCAAGAAAAAACAGTTTACGTTCAGTTTCTCAAAAGAATTCATCCCTACAACTTCTAACTTGTTCGGCCGCCTCTGACATGGGATAATTTATTTAAAAGAAATGTCCTTAAGAAAAATTTTGGACATGCAGTAAGGATCGTTTCAATGATTAGAAAATCAAGAAAGAAAAATCATTACTTTCATCGGATAATATAACCATACACAACAAAAAGCATGACTTTTTCACAATAGAGTTACATCAAAATCTTAAAGTAAAAATACTTCATATGATAATCAGTATTCGAAATACTTTAGAAGATGAGGGAGACATTGCTCAATACTCTAATCTGGACCCTTGATTAAATCTGAAGTTAGTTATTCCTGTTGATTGCATCATATTTCCGAAGGGAAAACCAAGTAAAACATGATCAAATCAGTATATTTCATAGGTTCAAGAAGAAAGCACTTCATGCAGAAAAAACATCATAAACACTTCTTGCACAACAAATCAAATTCTTGCAAATAAAACCAAGGTCGTGATAAATGAGGCTGAATCACATGCTTTCAAGCGTGAGAACTGGTTATACATTGAACAGAAAGCTTTAACTCAAAAATTGCTAATGTTATAGAATAATTTTCTGTCTCAAACTTAAAGATTCCGGTTGCATTCCAGTTGTTGGATTTTCGTGGATCTAGTTCTTGACTTTGTCGAATTCTGCAGTTGGAAGAAGCCTGAAGTTAAGAGACAATCCTGGACTCCGATGGTCGCAAGAGGTCGGACTTCGGTAGCCGAAAAATGTGGGAAACATACTGGATTCTGATGGATACAGACAGTCGCTTTTGGTCTGAGCATTTATTAATTGTCATTTGTTTTTCATGATTAGGTACGATGGATTTGGCTATAATCTGAGACTCGTTGCTTCACATGAAATTGGTCATGCGTTAGGACTTGGTGAGTCGAAGAAAAAAGTCCAAAACAAGAAACTAATAGGTTTAATTCTATTCTAACATTTTCAGCACATTCGTATGACCAAAGTGCGTTAATGTATCCATTTTATCAATTGATGCAACCCGGTGATTTGTTACCAAAAGACGTAAGTTAAAAGTTCTTTGAAATGTGACACTAAGCGACTGCAATGTATAGAGGATTAAAGCACATTCTCAGATTAGATGTTTCCTTCATACTCCTTCAAACGTATTTTCAAGAACGTGCGTAAATTAAAACACTTTTCGCGGTTATATCAGTTATGATCGGTTTCCGTTAACCGATTAAAAATCCGGTGCCTGTCCAAAAGTAATCATGCGTTGCGAGAACAAAAGGTTACGTAGAATTTCTTTTCGGAAACCGAGCTTGAACAGGTATCCGAGAGCGAGTTTACAAACCGAATATGAAAGGTTTTTGAAAGGATATTAGGACTCACGAAAACCTGTTTTAAGGGTTTTCGAAAATGTTACTATATGAAACCCTTTTGGGTATTCGAGAATTAAAATACTTTTTTGAAAACCCTTTTGAAGAATATTTGAGGACAAAATTGTACTGAATAAATAAGGGTATGCGAACAGGAAAAGCGTTTTCGATATTTCGAAAACACAAAAGACAGTTTTGAGGAAGAGTCTCAGAAATTGTCTTAAAGTTCTATGAAAACATCACGACACGAAGATTAGAAAATGATTCAGAATCTGAAAATAAATATTTAAGACTATTCATTAGTGGATGTGAAACAAAAAGCTCTATTAGGAGGAGAAAGAGGCGTTTAATCTTAAATCTAAAGCATTGAGAGAGAATAAAATTTAACATTTCTCAAAATTTTTCTATAAGGACAGAGATGGTATTAGAGCATTATATGGCAATCTTACAAACACAAATCCTTCATCTTCTGCACCAACAACGTCAAAACCGATATATACTACAAAACATAAAACTACAAAACATAAAACTACAAAACATAAAACTACAAAACATAAAAGTCACCATAAACACACAACAAAAGCATCTCATGTTCATAATCCGACACTTGAACATAATCAATGTGCACGATATCTTGATGCTGTACTTGAAGGTAAAGATCAATGGCTATATACACTGGATTATAACCATGTATGGCGATATCATCCCACATATAAACACTGGGATACTAGAGGAATACCATTGAAAGAAGTGTTCCCGGGAGCAGAGGGACACATGATGGCTGGTATTATGTCACCAGCTACACAAAAAATATATTTGTTCAAGGGCTATCGAGTATGGCGATTTACTTCTTCACATTCGTTAGATAGCGGTTTTCCGAAACGGTTGCATGGCCATGGCACACCATTTAATCCCGTTGCAGCGTTATATGATGAAAAAAAGATTTGGCTTATAAAAGGTGACCTTTTATTTCCATTTGATGAAACAAAACTAAAATATATCAATGACAAACCACCAAAACGAATAAGCGAACAATTTCCGGGTATACCTCGTCGAGTTCGCACAGCTTTTACATATGAGGGTAAACATTATTTTTTCATCGAACCTAACAGAAAAGTCTATGTATTTAATCAAGCGACAAGACGTTTAGATCCCGGCTATCCACGTCAAATGGAAACAGGATGGTTTGCATGTACAGAACAGCAGTAACATCTGTCGTCTCTCATTTCACGTCAGTAAACAGGACTAACTACCAATCAACTAGGCCACCATTTTGTTGTTTCATAGACTTAAGATGCTTTTTGAAGTTAAAAAGTTTTCAGATTTTAGATAGGTGTATCGCGATAACATCTTTTTCCACATCTACAGAATTATCTAATTTTTATTGAAGTAATAGTTTTCAAATCCCTAGTTATAATTTATTGCACGATCGTATCTGATGGTTTCCAGCTATTGTATAGTATGACTACTGTACGGTTGCTTCCGGAAATGTTGCCGAAAACCTGCTCCTCTTAGAAGCATAAAGTATGGATAGTTTAATAAATTAAACAAAAACTAAATGATGCACTTTTGACGATCAATGATCATAATTGGCTTTGTCCTACTCGGAAAATGCCTACGTTAAAACCAAAATAATATAATTCAGCCGAAATCTGGTATTTTACGGTGCTATCAAGGATCCTAAACAATAATTATATCGGTATGGAATAGAAGTATTCGAGAGAAAAAAATAATCGAATTTGGCGTAGACGACAACGAATAGTAAAGGGCGTGGACGGTTAGCTTCCCTAAAAGTGTTAACTTGTTTCTGTCAGAAGCTTGTCAGTAGGCTACTAGAAATATTAAACGAGTTAGTTTCACGAAAGTTTGATGCAAGGTCTTTGACGCCTTTGGATGATCTTAAACTTAGACATATCTAGAACGCTTTTTATACCATTTTTTTCTGAAATCACTTCGAATGGATGCAAAATTTCACGATGATCACAACTATTATCTTTAAAGTTAAAAAAGCTTGCGTCGTCATGGAGAAAATCGATGTTTACTGAGTGATAATACCATCTCATCATCTATCAGTTTTACCTTGCCTACAACCAAAAAACGAAAAATAGATGATATATGCAAAAGAGCTGTGTGCGCTTTCAGATTAAGCTAAAATACAGCATTCAACTCTCAATTAAGTTATCAATTATCAAGATATGAGTCTAAAATAAGACAAAATTTGTTATTTTTCTCATGTTTTTGTGAAACAAGGAAGAGTGAAAACAAGCGAAATTAGATGTAGTTTTTATCCTATACCGACTGAATATGTCAAGAAACAAGAAAAAGCGTGCTTCATGTTTAAACAATTGAAAGTATTGCCAACGTATTCTCACATTTTCACCTGTTAAACCAAATTTTTACTTAAAATAAACACCAGATTCTTAATCATCATCAAAAATTGAGTCAAATAATATATCATTTATCACTTTTACACAATTTTTATTTCCTATCAAATAAACGATCCATGGTGTGGTTTTAAGGATTTTTCGGCATTTCTGTTATAAACTTTATAGAGTAAAGTACTTCAATCTTACTCAAAAACCAATATTTCATAATTCGATAAAAAACTGATACTTTATTAGAAAATTTATTAGGTACTGAAGTTAATGTTAAAAATGAATTGATAATTGAGCACGTTTTTATCTATGTAACTTGCATACGTTTAAATAGACTAGCAATGTCATCTGGAATATTTTCATTTTTTGTAAAAAATATTATTCGAAATGTTTGTTTACTTGTCTCAAATATTTCTGGAACAATTTCTAATTCTGTAAAATTTAACATATCAAATACTGTTTTATAATTTTGTTTCATCAATTGGTTTGTAATTATTAAATTGTACAAATTTGGATGTATCTCGTCGCAATATTTCTTTAATTCATCTAATTGTGCTTTAATGTCTGTAGAATCATCAAAATTAATAATAAATAGTTGTCCATGAATGATAGAATGTTTTAGTGCCTGTAATAAATTATTTGTAAATGGAACAAATTCGACAAATGGACCAGAATTACTGTAACGATAGAGAGCAATAGCATTACCACTTGGTGTAATGAATAACGGACATTTTTCTTCCTCGTATTTGAGTACCGATGAAATATCGCGTGGTTGAATTTGGTTTAGTTTAACTTCAACAATCGGATCTAACGTTTTTACGCTTGGTATCGTTTGTGCTGGAAGCGCAGGTGGATTTGAATCTGGTTTTTTTGTTATATCTTTTGATGAAGTTAAGGGAACTGTTGGACGTTTTCCAAATTTAACCGAAGATCCCGTTGCATTTGATTTACCAGTTGCTGTATTTTTCGACATATTAAGTTTCACATGAATACTAAAGACACGTTGCTTGTATTTTATATATTACACAATTTTATTGAAACACTCAGTTGCAATGAGTAATAAGTTTTTATAATCTAAAATAAAACACACTGTCTGAACTACGCAGAAAGAAAAAGCAAATGCAGTACTCGAATAAAATAAAATGGATCGAACAGAAAAAAACAATTCTGTTTTGGTAGTTTGAATGAAAAAAGCTAAAATTTCTCAATTCTGTTGTAACAATTATTTTTCATTGCACTGCACAATGACTTTAAAGTCTTAGACAATGTATCCCAGCTCCTAAGGAGGCACATCTCAGAGGTCAATGCATTCTTATTGTCAAGATGATACTGTCATTCAATAGAGCTCAGTGAAAGACGCCAGAAACCGAAGAAATTATTAGATGAGACAATAAATAATTTTGGCTTATGATGTGGACATCAAAATCTTTTTTGATATTTTTTTGTCAAGTATCATGTTTATTTTGATTAAAAACGGTTATTGATTGAATAAAAATAGATGTATATGAAAATCCTAATGTAAGGCCAAGAAGAATTAGCTCATTTTTACTCGCCATTTATTGATGTAGTCAACATAAAAAAATATTTGTGTAAAGTTTAGCTGAGGTCTGCCTCTAACAACTACAATCCGTTTAAATTATCACAAAATTTCTTAGATTAACCAGAGCAGATTTTCACCATATTTTACTTTGATTGTATTTCTAACACGAATTGTTGGTTTAAGAGAGGGAATACTCTCAGAAAAAAACTTTCTACACCATGCAACTGATTTGCACGAAACTGTGGTGGATGAGACACTATGACATGAAAAGACTATGATAAAAATATCGATCCAAAATATTGAGTTATTCGTGAGTTATCGGTGTCGTTAGTTGCAAAATGAGGATGCTTGTGAGGTACATTTTTCTCATAGGCATACATTTTAAGTTGAAATTTCAGAAAAGTGCCTTGCCTCTCTTTAGTAATGCAGTTTTCTCAGTATCGAAAGCGTATTTCAAAAATAGTTTGTTACTTTGTGCATTTATGTTTTAGCTATCAAACAAAAAATAGTTCATAAAAATTACGCCAAGTCATTCCTGAGAAAAATATACCTTGCTGTGCGAGATATGTCTTTTCAGAAAAGCGTAACACATGTTTGACGAAATATAAATATAGGAAAAAGAACTCAAAATCTTCTTTTATCATAAAGAGCTGTACAGGTTCTGAAAGAGAACACTTCAGACTATCTGTCCATGCGATTTTCCATCAAAACTGACCTCCTGACGGTAAGGGTTTCTCTATACCGAATCGTTCACTAAATAATGAACTTTAAGAACATGTGATTGAGTATGAATAAATTATACCATTCATCTGTCTAAATGTCCGCACCCTTGTCCACAATGTGGGTGTTCTTTGAAGTCTTGAAAGCCGTCTATTATTCATTTCTGATAGATTTTTTCTATTAGTTGAAGATCTTTTATTTGCAGAAGTGTTTTTCTCTTTGTGTGGGCTCAATTACAACATGCGGACCATATAAAAGTCTCAATAAAACGCTTAAAAGCAAGAAATGCATTAAGGTTGATGCCATCACGTACTGTGTTTCTCGATGTAATATAAATTTGTCCTTAATGACTTTCAAGCTATCAGTTCGGTCTTGTTTGACGCATGGAAGATGATGAAACAGTTATAGCACCTTGATCACAAGATGTTATATTGGTTCTAGCAACGAACTGCTATTACAGAACACTTTTCTCTGGAAGTCTGATGGTCAATGTGTTCTTCGCATCAGGCAAACGTTTTCGACAGAGATCCCAGATCTTCTGATTTTTCAACTTTTTTCTGTCTTCTGCTCTTCTGATTCCTGGAGCTTTTTCAGATCTTAAATTCTTACTTTCATTTGAATTGAACTATGACTCATAATGATACATTGTATTACAGTGATAGCACGTTTTATTCGAACAATCATATTGAAATTATACGATCAAGTTGACATGAATTAAGAGATAGTAAGACATTTGCTAGTTATCAAAGGCATAACTACTCTTTCTTTTTCAAAACGAAACGCATTCTAATTTTTTTTCTGATTTTGAACCTTTTTTTTCTTATTTTCGTCTTTTTAATCTATCCCTGGTTTCCCCGCCAATATTACTCACAGGTGAACCCAAAATACGTCAAACTTTCGTATTTTTGTTTTGCAATCGAACTCGGATGTCATGTCAGATCAGACTCGAAAAACGTATGGAGGAGAACTTACTAGGGAAGATCCTCAATTATCGGATCGATTTTGACACCATCTTTTGGTCACATGAAGATCTCGATGAGACTAGAAAAAGCTAA